TGAATTCGTTACTCATTTATTACGGTGGCAGCATTTTTTTGTATGATAATAATATGAACTTTTAGCCCCAAGTTTCATATTCTCACTCGAAGCTTTGTTTACTTAAAAAAAGAAAAAAGAAAAAATTATACTTTTCATCAATAAATTAAGATTGATTCTCATTTGTTGATCGTGCTCATTTTTTGTTTTCAAGTTATAACTGATATTGTAAATTTCATAGTTTTTCTAACAAAATATTAGGGACAGAATTTTGCAACATCAGTTATAGCTTAGTAACGAGAAGTGAGCATAACATGTTAGAAAAAAGATAAAATTTACAACGTCAATTATAATTTAGGGATAAAAAGTAAGCACGACCAACAAATTGAGATGAATCCTATAATTACCGTATGACATACGAAAAATAAATTATTTTCAAAAGTAAAAATAAAAAGAATTGTAAAATTTTCACAGGATTTATTGGGTCAGCTATTAAACTTGATTGGGATTCTATCAATCGTTATGTTATAGACCCGTGTCCAACATGCATGCTGGACACGGGCAACAGTACCGTTAAATTTCCTCAGACGATATACAAGACTATTATAGAGTGGCCCATTATTATTGGGCTAGATTTTGTCAAGCCCAATTATACTTTATAATGGGCCACTCTATAATATGTAGCTAGCCATTATTATTGTCCACTCAAACATGTTCAAAGTTCAAAAAAAAAAAAAAAAGTAAAGTCTACAAAAAATACTTTATAGATTCATCAGACGATATACAAGACTATCAAAACATCAATATCATATTGATTTATCTCCGAATAAACTAGGATATCTTCTTCAAAGTAAGATACTAATAACAATCATGATAACAAATGCAAAACTTGATAGGATGTCCTTGACAGAGGTAACATGGATTAAGTCCGCTGTATGAACTCAAGCAAAGCCTTTTACAGCAATCCTCGGAGCAATAGCCGTCATCGCACGGTCCAAAATTTCCCACGCATTGATAGTCTGACGTCATCACTTCGTACGGAAACGTCGCGTTACTTCCGGCCGCTTCAAAACTCGATGGAGATATACCATTGCCACATGAATACGCACCTAATGTTGCAACATTTATTAGTCTCACAATATAAAATACATAATATTTTTAGAAAAATGCATTTTTAGTCCTTAAATTGTTCATGGTCAATCATTTTACTTTCTAAATTTTTAGTGTTGTAATATTTATTATTAACTCTTCAAAAATGTTGCAGTTTTAATCCATAGAACAACAAAACTATTAAATTCTATTAAAATTTTAAAATACTCATTTACTAACTTTTTTTCCATGATATTCATTAGCCTTAAAGATGATGAATTCCGAAAATATGAATAGCAAATCCTATATATTCAAAACAAACGCAACCTCATCTCATTGTTGAATTCCAACACGGAATTAGTGTATAACTTAATATTAAGTTACATCTCAATTCTAATTATCGGCTTAGATTTAAATCTAATTCAAAAGTCATGAGTTTATTCTTGTCAATACCTTTCAGTCATACCTGTCACATAGAATCTTTTTAGAGTGAAGGGAAAGCCAAAACTATGTGGAGTAAATCGCACTAAAAACTTTTTGTGTGTCTGGCTCGATCAAGAAAATGTTGGCAAGAGTCAAATTCTTGATCTTTTGCTATGAGATCAGAATCATGTTCCACCCATTCGATTACCCTTTTTGGACCAAAAGAGCAGTATTTTTAATTCAACTAAAGATACCCATTGAACTTAAAGAAAAATGACTTACCGGTTGCAAAAACAAGAATAATCAAAGCACAAAATGTTGGTGAGAACATAGCAAAGTGATTCCCAGAAAACTAAACTTATGATTTGTTTTGTTTATTACAAGAACGTTGTACACAAGTGAGTAGTGAGTAGTGAGTAGTGAGTAGTGACCCATCCATACTTATACAGTTATACCTCCACGGATGCCAGCAATTCAAGTCTGAAATCCACACAATTTGGTTGTAGTTTCCATTTTCATTAAATATTTCCTAATTTGCAAATAATATCTAATCCACACGCCAAAGTGGATTGACTCTACCAATTTGAAATATTTCCTAATTTGAAATATTTACTAATATTTAATTTCCTAAGTGACTCTCCCAAATGAGAGATTATGGGTTCAAACCTCAATGAAGGCGATATTGATTCGTTAGACTTTAGTAGATTGAGAAAGTATATTTCAACAGATACTAACATGTCTCCACGCCTGCCTAATTGTTTTTGACTAATTGGTATTGTACGGGAAATACTAGTGTAATATAATCCAGACTCGATTTCTAGGAGCGTTATGCTGTGCAACCGTGTGCACCATGTGACGTCCAACTTAAAAAAAAAAAATCAGTTTCGATTGCCGTTAACGGCGTTATGTTGGGCATAATTTGAACTATACATCCATAACTTTATAACTATACATTCAGAATTGCATAACTAGACATCCATAACTTCATAACTATACATTCAGAATTGCATGCATAACTACACATCCATAACTTCATAACTATACATTCAGAATTGCATAACTACACATCCATAACTTCATAACTATACATTCAAAATTGCATAACTACACATCCATAACTTCTTAACTATACATCCAGAATGTGAAATTATAAAATTATGAACATATATTTATGTAACTAACGGCTTAAAAATGATTTTTTTTTTGGGAAAATGACACTTTTTACCCCTGAGTTATATACTTATAGCACTTTTTCCCTCTAAATTATTTAGGTAAGCACATTAGCCCCCTCAATTATTCTAAAAGTGGTGCTTTTCCCCCATGATATATTAAATTGACATTTATACCCTTAAAGTACACATTTTATTTATTTTACTACTCCAACAAATTATTGCGTATACGTAGGGATGACCACGGATCGGTTTGAATTGAACCGGATACTAAAGCAATCGAATTAATAGTTTTCGGTTATAATTCAAATCTAGAACCCAATATTTAAATGTCAATTTATTAAAATTATGTATCAAAAAAATTGAATCTTGAACCGTGAACCGGCGGTTCCGGATTCGATTCGCGATTTTGAAACGTCTTTATTTTAAAATCTTATTTTTTATTTTAAAATAGTATAAATTCAACAATAAATGTATTTTATTTTTTCAGTTCGGAACATGAACCGTCCGTTCCGGTTCACGATTTTAATAAACTCGATCTAAATATCGAATTTCGATTCTAAATTGTAATTGGAATATTTCGGTTTGGTTTCTATAGTGTTTGTTTGGTTTGATCCAAATTATGGTCATAATTTGTTGGAGAAAAAAAAAATAAATTAAATATTTAGTTTAAGGGTAAATATGTCCATTTAACATTTCAGGGGGAAAAACAATCACTTCAATAATTTAGGGAGAAAAAATGCTATAGGTATATAACACATGGGAAAAAAAGTGTCATTTTCTCATCTTTTTTAAAAAAAAAAAAAAAAAAAAAAAGTAAAACGACGTCTTTTCGCAACCGTATGCACCATGCATGGTGCACAGCATAATTTGCCCAATTTCTAATTCTGATATTGTTACTCTGTCACTACCACTTCATGTACTTATACTCAAACAAACTTATCCCATAAGATTAACAACATTTGATCCTCATACATTATTACATATTATTTACCCTCACAAATATCATACACATGACCAACTTAATATTAAAATTAGGGAAAATTGTAATTTATGCGCATTATAAATATATCAATTATCAATGTCAGCCTGAATTATTAGTGGTGTAAAAGTTGCCCCTCAATTTTCAAAACGTGACATATATTGCTTCTCACTTGAATTATTAGTGGTGTAAATGTGATTACCTGTCGTTTTCCCTGTTCGAAAATTATATTTTTTTCCCTTCATTTTTTTTCTTTGTTTGATCTCCTTTCACCGACAACAATGTTTCTCCTTCTTTCTTTTAGGAGAAGGGCAATATATGTCATGTTTTGAAAATTGTGGAGCAACATTTACACCACTAATAATTAAGGAGTGACATTGATAATTGACATATCTATGAGGGGCATAAATTACAAAACTATATATTAACAATTACAGAACTCTATATTCACAATTTCATAACTCTATATTCACAATTAATGAACTCTATATTCACAATTACAGAACTCTATATTCACAATTTTTGAACTCTATATTTACAAAAAAAAAAAAAAAAAAAAAAAAAAGTGGTATTGGCTGAGGAAGCAGTGCCACTAACAACACTGTTATTCCAGACGTGTAAAACTGCGTCGTTTTGGACCTGAAGGTGCCGGGTCCATGGCATAACAATTGTATTTGACGATATGTTTAGTATTTTAAAAAGACTAATTACAAATAATAGGAGTTTATTGCATGTAATATAATCCAGACTCGATTTCTAATTCTGATATTGTTACTCTGTCACTACCACGTCATGTACTTATACTCAAACAAACTTATCCCATAAGATTAACGATATTTGATCCTCATACATAATTACAAATTATTTACCCTCACAAATATTATACACATGACCAACTTAATATTAAAATTAGGAAAAATTGTAATTTATGCGCATCACACTTATGTCAATTATTAATGTGACCCTGAATTATTAGTGGTGTAAATGTTCCTCCCAAGTTTCAAAACGTGACATATATTGCCCGTCCCATGAATTATTAGTGGTATAAATGTGGTTATCCGCCATTTTTCCTATTCGAAGACCATATTTTTTTTTCCTCTATTTTTCTTTCTTTGTTTGATCTCCTTTCGCCGACGACAACAATGTTTCTCCTTCTTCTTATTAGGAGAATGGCAATATATGTCGTGTTTTGAAAATTAAGGGGCAACAGTTACCCACTAATAGTTCATGAGTGACATTGATAATTGGTATATTTGTAATATGCATAAATTACAATTTTCCCTTAAAACTAACACCCAACGAGGCTACGAGTCACTAAACCCTTCAATTTTAATAATCAGTAAGATAAAACGCAAGTATAAAATACAGATAATACTTTATAGGTTCATCACACGATATACAACACTATCACAACATCAACGATCATCAGATCGATTAATCTCGATCCGAATAAGCTAGGATATCTTCTTCTTATCATCATATCATTAAATAGTTAGGAGGTAATTAAGATACTAATAGCAGTCATGATAACAAATGCAGAACTTGATAGGGAAGCCTTGACAGAGGAAACATGGATTAAGTCCGCTGTATGAACTCAAGCAAAGCCTTTTACAGCAATCCACGGAGCAATGGCCGTCATCACACGGTCCAAAATTCCCCACGCATTGATAGTCTCCCATCACTCCATACGGAATCGTCGCGTTACTTCCGACCCCTTCAAAACTCGACGGAGCTATATTGCCACATGAATACGCACCTAATGTTGCAACAACATTTATTAGCCTCACAACATAATAAAATACAAATTTTTTAGAAAAAAAAATGCATTTTTAGTCCCTAAATTGTTCCTGATTAATTAGTTGTTTTACCCTCTAACTTTTCAGTGATACCATTAACTCTTCAAAACAGTTGAAGTTTTAACACATGGAACAACAAAATTATTGAATTCTATTACAATTTTACTTAGTAAATGATCATTTTAAAAATTTATTATCTTTATTCTTTATAACTTTTTCCATTTTGATATTTCATCTGCAAAATAAAAAATTGACAACTTTCTTCCCTATATTTTTCTTTTTCAATTGTGGTACATCGTCCATATTTTCCCTACACGAACATGTTAAAATAAAATTTTATATTTTACAAATGAAATATTGATATTAAAGAAGAAAATTAAAAAGTACTCTATACTAAAATACTGATGTACTAAGTAAAAATTTAATAGAGTTTATTAGTTTTGTGGTTTAGGAGTTAAAACTATAATTTTTTTTGAAGAGTTAGGAGTGTATATTGCAACATAAAACGCTAGTGACTAAAACAACTAGCAACGAACAATTGAAGAACTAAAAACTCATTTTCTCCAAAATCTTTACTGCCTAAACTCATATTCTTTTTTTTTTTTTTTTTATGTTTTAACCCCAAACTTAATAGCCTTTCACCACTCATGCCTTAGAGAATGGTGGATGGCGTAAATTGTGGGATGCATTTTAACTCGTCAACATACCCTCAAATACTTATGCGTTAGTGCCTACAACAAAATCAAATCCAAATCAGATAAGACCTCCTTTTTTTTTTTGTCCATTTTCTAATTAGTTTAGTTTCAAATTTTGTCTTAAAGATTATGATAGGACGACTAGCCTTACACCACCTTCTCCCATGGTATTCATTAGCCTTAAGATGATGAATTCCTAAAATATGAATAGTAAATCCTATATATTCAAAACAAACACAGCCTAATCTCGATCATTCTAGAATTCCAACACCGAATTAGGGTTACCTTAATATTAAGTTACATCTCATTTCTGATTATCGACTTGGATTTGAATCTAATTCAAAAGTTACGGATTTATTCTTGTCAAACTACTGGAAATTATGAAATTTTTGACCACCTAAAAGTGATCTTAAATCAAGTTGAAAGCAAAAAGTGGTCGGAAATAGCAACAAAGGTTTTTCCGGATACCAAAAATGGTCGGAACAAAACTTTCTACTTGATTTAAGATAACTTTCAGATGGTCGGAAATTCAATAATTTCCAGCAGTGAACCCTTTCAGTCAAACCTGTCACATAAAGTCTTTCTAGAGCGAACGGAAAGCCAAAACCTATATGGAACAAATCGCACTAAATTTTTTTTTTGTATGTCTGACTCGATCAAAAAGTGTTGGCAAGAGTCAAACTCTTGATTTTCTAGTATGAGAATCATGCTCCATCCACTCAATTATCCTTTTTAGGCAAAAAGAGCAGTAATTTTAATTCAACTAAAGATACCCATTGAACCTGGGGTGATAGCTCAAGTGACAAATGAGTTTTCTTTGAGAGAGAAATTTTGAGATAACCCGGGTTAGATTCCCACAACTGACGATTCTCCTCGGGCCAGTTCCCATCACCTCCCGGAGCATTTCCCCCAAAATAAAAAAAGATACCCATTGAACTTGAAGAAACATGACTTACCGGTTGCCAAAACAAGAATAATCAAAGCGCGAAATGTTGGTGAGAACATAGCAAAGTGATTCCCAGAAAACTAAACTTATGATTTGTTTATTACAAGAACATTGTACACAAGTGACCCATCCATACTTATATCTCCACGGATGCAAGCAAGTCTGAAATCCACACAATTTGGTTGTAGATTCCATTTTCATTAAATGTTTCCTAATTTTCAACTAATATCTAATTCTTCATTGATGTTTATATATTAAATGATGATGATGCATGCTTTCGGTGTATTACTATACGTTTTTGGATGTTACTAGTTTGACTATTGCATTCTATGATATAGGGCAATTCCAATAAAGTTGGTCGAGTTGTTGATTTGATAGCCTTCGACTTTCAATGGGAATAGCCTATTAATTTTCTTATTTTGAGCGAGTTAATTAGCTATGAACAACCTAAGTTGGTTTACCTCCTTGTGGTAATTTGCCGACTAAAGTCACAAGATGAGATTTACCCAGTATAGACTCTCAAATAATAAATGCAAGTTTCCCTCATCACCCAGGAAAAAAGAAAACCCTCACTTATGTAAATTGTAATACAATTAAAGTTAAATTTTATATATATATATATATATATATATATATATATATATATATATATATATATATATATATATATAGTTATTTATTTATTGGTGCGAAAATGCTAACCAATCAGCACGCGCCACGTGTCCAGATCTAGGTGCACATATTGTTACAACTAGGTGCACCTAGGTGAAAGTAGGTGCATTTGTAGGTGAAAGTAGGTGCACTTGTAGGTGAAAGTAGAGGCAAAATTACATTCACTTGTAGGTAAAAGTAGGTGCACTTGTAGGTGAAAGTAAGACACGTGGCACGCGTTGTTTGGTTCACATTTCGCACATGGGCAGCCATTCGCACGAGATCGCGCCCCTCTCTCTCTCTCTCTCTCTCTATATATATATATATATATATATATATATATATATATATATATAATAACAGAAGTGTGTGGACAAGTTTTCCCACCCAAAATTAGGGTTATTTTAGTAATATTAAACATTTGGACAAAAATGACATTTAGAATTACTATTTAAAAACTTTAAATAATTAATTACACTTTCCTTTTGAAAATCTTCCAAATTATGTTTATCACATTTTACAGCTATAAATACAATGAAAACAAATTGTATATTGCAATCTTGATCTTCTCCATCTACGGATGCTCATGTAATTCGGTAAAATAAATGAAGAGGCTGCAATGTATTATTTGCATGTTTGTGAGGGTTAAAAATTACTCGTCAAAGATTTATGATTTAGTAACGAAATTTTAATTTTATATACTTATTTTAAAAGTATACCCTCGCTATTGATACGAAAGATGTTGTTACTCTCATTATTGACGTCTAAAAATTATTTCACAAATATCTTATGTTTAGTCCCAAAAACGTGAACGAGTGGATAAAACATGCATGATTTTCGTAGTTGAAAGTCACAAATTTTTTTTTTGCTCTTTTAATAATACAATTTTTCTTATTTTTCTAGACTATATCCTAAACTCATGAACTTGCCGCAAGGCCCATGAAGGAGATAAATCCCGAATTGTCCAAACAATTTTAAATTCCCTACCGCCACTATACATGAATTTGGTTTTACCAACACCTTCTTGATTGAACCGGTCGCAAAAGGTCTTCCTTCATGTAAATACTAATAACTAAAACAGAGAGTGATATTTTATTGATTCATCATTGAATATTTAGAGGTAAGATACATTATTTATATATTTTTTGAGGAATACATTATTTATATTTAAATAAGGTGTAAGTTATCAGTAGCAATCATGATAACAAATACAGAACTTGATAGGAGATCCTCTACATAGGAAACATGGATTTTGTTCGTTGTATGAACTCAAGCAAAGCCTGCTACAACAATCTACATCACAGAATTCGGTATCGCACGGTCCAAAATTCGCCACGCATTGATAGTCTCGTGACACCTCGTACGACACCGTATCGTTTATGCCCACTCCTTGAAAAGTCGACAGAGCCATATTGCCACATGAATACGCCCCTAATATTGCGACATTTATTAAGCTTGTGACATAATATATACTCCGTATATCAATTCAAATAATTCATAATCACTATCTAAGAATGTATATTAAGGCCCTGCTTGGTAAATAACTGTTAGTTTATAGTTGTTAATTATTAGTTAATTGGGTTAATTAAAGGGTATAACTAGTTGGTAACATTAGCTGATTGTAGAAAGATGTTTGATAAATTAGTTGTTAGATAATAGCTGTTTGATATAATTTCTTTTCTTAAAAATTAATTGAAAAAGTTACTTTGAGCAGCTTTTTGAATTTTAGCATTTTGAAGTTACAAAAAGCTAATTAACTAAACACTTATATTGATTTTTTAACCGAGTCAAACAATTAATAGTGATCAAATAAGTCAAAATTGACTGATAGGCTGACTATTTTACCAAATAGGGCCTAAGTAAATTCTACTATCCGGTAAGGCTGTAATAGTTTACACTAGAAAAGCTCTGTGCAAAGAGCTCAACCGAGAATGTGTCAGCAAGGATCAAATTCGTGATCATCTAATAACGTAAATTTTACTCCAACACTCAGCCATCCTTTCAGAAGAGCAATGTTTAATTTTAACTACATCCTCCCAAATGCTCTGTCGGGTCGGGATGTGCGGGCCCTTAGAGTTGAGGTTCAACCTTTTGGAAGAATGTTTAATTTTAACATGAGACTGAAATGTAACTTAATTGAGTTACATTTTATTTATCCTCTTCCTTTAATTAAATGTATTTATAAAAAAAGAAAAAAGAAAAAAAAAAAACATCATTAAATTCCCTCCCCGGACATCAATGGACTGCATTCGACTCTCCCCACCTTTGCCATTTTATTTTAAAATGTTGTTCTTTATATATAACTAGTAATTCACCCGCGCGATGCACGGAAAAAAATTATGTTATTATAAATATAAATAAAAAAATATAAAAATTAAAATATTTTAAATTATTTAATATAATAATATTTTTGAGCTTCCATTGGTCAAGTATTTATTATTTTTATAGAATACAAAATTACAATTAAAATTAAAATTAAAATTAAAATTTTGTATGATTAATATAATATCTAATTATGTGCATATTCAAATAAACTTCTAGAGAGAATTTACATAATTACATTGATTTATTCTTTATTGTATTTCATCTATATTCTAATTTTCACAATACGAATAATAACTAAGATAATTACATTTGGAAAGCAAATTTCAAATTTTGTATGTGTAAATTTAAACTCTAATTGAACACATATTTTATATGATTATATAATATATAGCTATTTTATTTTTCAAAAGTATATTTTTTATATGATTATATAATATATATAGCTATTTTATTTTTTAAATGTTGTGCTTTTTTTTTTTTATAATAAAAGATGTTGTGGCATTAATTGTAACATTAATTATTTCTCAAACCATATAGCTTTATTATATAAAGGATTTGGGCTACACAGCAAAAAATTTATAGAAAATATTTTTAAATAATTTAAAAATGTGATAAAAAAAAGATATATATTTAGAAATAAGTTGTTTTAACAAAAAGATAATACATGTATAGGAATAGGCTTTCGAACCAAACACTTAATAGATGTAATAGGTTTTAGTAAATGTAATATTTTTTTTTGGGCGTTAGCAAATAAGATTAGAAATTAAAATAAATAAATATTAAAAATAAACTCTTTTGTTCAGTTTATTTATATTTATATTTAAGGCGATCACTTGTCTATCTTTTTCCCATTTATGTTAACAACCACGTATAGTGTAAAAAAAAAAAAAAAAAAAAAAAAAAAAGTAGTATGCGTAATTGGACTTCGCCCCCAACTGAGTTGGTCGGGTATTGAATTACATATATATATATATATATATATATATATATATATATATATATATATATATATATAACTGAATTAAAATATATATAACTATGATAAAAGAAATATAATAGCATTGCAAGAGTAGATATATACATTTAAAAAAAAAAATACAAACACAAATTAAAAGCTATTATCTTCAAATCATACCTGAATTTGAATGCACTTGGTCAAAAATCACACTTTATGTTGTTACCCATGCTAATTTTGAATGAAGAAGCAAGTTTGAAACAAGAGAATAGAGTAATTAAGAAGCAAGTTGTAAAAAAGTGAGCTGAAATACGCAGGGTGGACATGAAATATTTTCATTTCTTTCCAACGTTGTTGTTGGACAAAAAATTAAAAATACCTATCATTTTTACTTTTCACCTACCAATCAATTCAGGCTTACCAACCAACACTACATTTTAGACGGAATTTCCTTCCAACTCTGGACGTTGGACGGAATTTCCATCCAACATTCTTTGGACTGAACTTCTAACCAACTTTTTGATCCGTCCCCTAAACTTTAGCGGCGTAAAGTTGAGATTTTTATTAAAATACCGACTAACATTATGGTTGGACGGAAACATCGAGATTTTCAACAGTGACATTGTGACCTTAGTCACAAGTTCAACTCTCAATTAGGGCTATTTATTGGCCTCTCAATTGAACCGATAAGCTAGAACTTGCCTAGATTGATTTATTTCCTTAAGACACTTTACTTACTAGGATTTCGGAACAGATTTTATCTTGTATACCTTAGGTCATGGTTACAACATTTTCTGTAAAACAAAATAGTAAGTGTAATTCAACTATAGATAACATTGAAATTAAAGAAATATGGCTTACCTGTTGCCAACACAAAAATAATCAAAGCGAAAAATGTGGGAGAAAACATGACGAATTGATTCATAATTTATGATTTGTTTATGATATAACACAAGTGACCCATCCATATTTATACACTTAATAGCAAGTCCTAAATCCTCCCAATTTGGTTGTAATTCCATTTTCAATAAATGTTTCTTAATTGGGAATTAACGAAAATGACCCGGCAAAAATATTGATGTGACAATATTTATTTAAATGAATTAAATTATTAAATTAAAAATATATATATATACGTAGAAGTCAACCATGATTTATTTATCCAGCCAGCATGGACAGCTCAACTGGTTATAGAGGTGAAAGTTGGAAAGAATGACCAAGGATTGAGTAGCAGCAGTGTGTGGGAGCAACCTCTCTAAATGAGCAATCGTTATACTCTGCACCACGGCACACATAGCACTGTGTGCCCTGCGCCTCACAAAACAACATCGTTTTGGTAAGTTATGAAGGGAGTAGACGTAATTATGTGTATTTGTTTATACAATTATATACATCCAAAACAGAAAATTTTGTATATTATGTTAAGTGTTGATGTTTATTATGTTAAAATATTATGTATATTATGTATTATGTTAGATTATATGTATTATCTTTAAAAAAAAAAAGTATGTGTATTTTGTTATACAATTATGTACATTCATGTATATAATTATGTGTATTCTAGTATAAAATTATGTACATTTTTTAACATGAGATTTTTAAAAAAAGAAATTAACCGCCAATGCAAGGTATATTATTATTATTATTATTATTATTATTATTATTATTATTAAAAATACAATTAAAATTTAATATTACATTATCATTATCATCACTATAGGAGCTCATCAATTGCAAGAGCAACACTTATATCGTGTAATAAGTCTACCATCCATTACTGATGTGGTAAATATGTTGGTGTATGCAAGTAAGATTATATACATAGGTATGTGAGCTTGGGTAGTTAGACAGTAAGTCGGAGATTTTTGAACTTGAGTGTGTTGCTAATGAGAAAGATAAAAAATCTCCCTGCTATCTAGCATTAAGCACTCTTTCAAAAAAAAAAAAAAAAAAAAAACATTAAATGCACTATTTATAAAAATCTAGAAGGGACCCATGCCGGACAGCCGGTATGTCTGCCACGTGCCTAACATGGGCGGGGGTGGAGACTCACCTGATAGCTAGCTAGGCCAAAGTGCACGGAGATTCTTGACATGTCGGGTTCTAATGTGATTGAGCAGGTGATGTGAATGATCGTTTGTTTTTTTAAGGAAAAGGGTCTCGAGTTCGGGTTGATCAACCCTAGTATCGCGCTTGAGAATGCCAGCCTTGAGTGCATGGAACGTGGTACAATTACTGAAGGTTGCAGATAGCTATTTTACTTGTGGGATCGGATCGGGTTAAGCCTGATGAGGTCGGATCTGCTCGAAAAGTGACATCTACGATATATCAATTATACCCTAGCAGATATACGGTAATCCGACTGGGTAATATATATACCCTATCAATTATTATTATTATTATTATTATTATTATTATTATTATTATTATTATTATTATTATTATTATTATTATTATTATTATTATTATTACTATTATTAGTATTACTATTATTAGTATTACTATTATTATTACTATTACTATTACTATTACTATTACTATTACTATTATTACTATTATTATTATTATTATTATTATTATTATTGTTAGTACAAAAATTAGGATTTAATTTTTGTTCCATGTTAATTGACATATGCTGATTATGTTATCATGAATCAGAGCAAATTATGATTATTTTTATACTGTTGTGATACAAAAATGAAAATGCAAAGCAAATGAAAAAATTACGCAATGGTGACAAATTGTTACGTTTGTGTACGTAGTGGTGACCAAGTGCTATGGTGGCATATTATAAGCAAAATGGGATCTGTGAGTTATAATGTAGTATATGTTTATAGCTACTTTTTCAATCTATTGAACCACTATACAAAAAGTTGATTAATACTACCTCAATACCTCTGAGACTTGAACCCACATTGTCCCATATAAGAAAGAGATCTGGTGGCACTAAATCACATGGTCCTTGGCAACTCTGTAATTTATAAACTCTAAAACTTTCATTTTTTTAATTGGAACAATCACTTGGTTACTGTTTCTTCGTTTTTGTTAACAACAAAAAATAATATAAAAAGTAGTAATAGCAGCCTCAAAAAGAGTTGATATGTTGGTAAGTAAAGCATGATTTTTGTATTAAGATCAGAAGTCATGAATTTAATTATTACTAATACAGAGTAACACTTTTTTAATTTAGCGTCGGTATATATTATACAAAAATAACATTTACCCTATGTTCACTATCGGATAGTGATTGCAGGTTTCACTCACAAAAATAACATTTACCATATGCACAATACGTCAGTACACTATCGAGTAGTGACTGCAAGTTTCACGGAAAATTATGTCGTGGAAACTCCACAACGGCGTTGTTTGCAACGAAAATGACGCCGTTCTAATTATAAAAAAAAAAAAATTGTTTTTCACTTGCCGTTAACGGCGTTTCTCTCTTCGCAATCGCACAGTTTAGAAATTCTGAATCTACACTATTAGGTTTGTGAACATGTGATAGAGCTATATGTTCATAATTTTATAAATATATGTTCATAAATATAGAGCTATATGTTCATAATTTTATAAATATATATTCATAAATATAGAGCTATATGTTCATAATTTTCGATGTTCATATATCCAATTGTTGAACTTTGTATTAACAAAACTATATGTTTAAGTTATGAATCTACAGTACTGATATTATGAATCTACTGTATAGAAATTATGAATCTACTGTATTTAAATTATGAATTTATGGTTTAAAAATTATGAATCTACATTATAAATTTTATGATTCTACAGTATAGAAACTATGAATCTACAACTAATCTCACATTGCAAGGTGGGCACAGTTCCACAACATAACGCTAGTTTCACTAATCATCTAAAACAGTAAAACAATATATATCGAGTAATAATTGCGGGTTTCACTCAATTATCTAAAAAAAATATATTGTGCTCATCGTTTCAAGCTAAGCAAATTTTGTTATTTATTTATTTTTGGAAATAATAGTAATTAAAAAAAGTTAAACGTACATACTATATACAAGATTTGAAATTAGTTCGTAACTTTGTTATTTATTTATTTTTGGAAATGATAGTAATTAAAAATTAACCTTACATACAGATTCGACATTCGTTCCTAACTAGAAGTTAGCGTTTTAGTTTTTTATTTAGGAACTAATGTAAGGTTAGTTTTTAATTACTATCTACAACTATATTTGTGCTAATTTGAAACTTGTAAGCAAAGGGGAAGTACAAGTATGGATGTTGGTTGTAGATTTCTTTTCATTAATTAGGGGCGTTGGCAATGCTATATTAGTATATTACCTTATTTGGTTTAAGTTATTATGAGTTACGTGATAATGGTATATTACCTCAAAGTTGATATGCCGTCAGTAATGTGATTATCTTCATTTTCTTAAATAATTTAGGATTATTTTGAAATATTCCAACTTCACCCGGATTAACTAATAATAATAATAATAATAATTTTCAAAATAATAATAATAATAATAACAACAACAACAACAACACCAAAATATATAAAAGGAATAATGGCCAAATAAGACATTCAAATATTCAATACCAAGGACCTTGTGGGACATTGGTATCCGGTTGCTCCCCTATGTGGGAGGTTTTGGGTTTGAGTCTTGGTGTAGGTGTAGATTGTATATGTGGGTATACCAAACTGTAATAAACGATGTCGTTTTGTTATTAAAAAAAAAAAAAAAACCTAAAAATCCTCTGTTTCAAATGCACATAAAGTCATAACAGAATACACATAAAGTCATAACATAATACGCATAAACTTTTAACTGAATACACATAATGGGATTTGGTTAACATAATACACATAAACTCTTAACTGAATACACATAAACTCATAACACAATACACATAAATTTTTAACTGAATACACATAATGGGGTTTGGTCTGTTCGAACGGACGGAGTGACGTAAGCATGAAACGCGCGTGTTTTGTGCCTGGACACACATTGCTATGTGCGCCGTGGTTCACGATATAAATTGTCATGTAATTGGGTCCCTGAACAACACAAACTTATACAATTAAAGCCAAAATGACACATTTACCTTAAATTACGTTGACATGGCGGTTACCGATTAAACAAAAATTAAATAAAATAATTAATTAAAAAAAAAAGAGAACGGCCTGAGACAATTCGTCTCCATGGCCGGTGGGTCTCTGGCCACGAGGACAAAGGTAGCTTCGTCTCCATGGCTTAAGACACAGCCCAGGCCCCATCCTATTGTTTTGGTGATCAAATGGTGCAGCATCTGTATTAAGTTTAACATACCCTGCACGAGCTTTTTGTTCTCTCAATCACTTGTGTGGAAGTAACCGAGACATTGTTCCATAACTTATCATTTCTCAAAGAAAGGTTAGATAAGAGTGCAAAACCAACCAACCCAATTACCCAACATGTTCCTGCTGCAACCCTTCAAAATTATAGACCAATCAGCTTTCCTCTTATCTTCAAATCGTTCCAGCAAAACAACAAATCAAACACCCTTCCATTCTCTACTCATCCTTTCAACCAATTATTTATTTATTTAGAATAAATACCCAAAATGGTCCCTCGACTATAACTAAATTCACAAATTGGTCATCGACTTTCAATTTCAACCAATTAAGTCTTTAACTTTGTAATTTTAACACAATTTGGTCCTCTGTTTATTTGACCGTTTGTTGACTGTGATTTTTGAGGATATATATGTAATTTCATGGTCCATCGGTTTTTTAAGATTCTAGTTGTATTTCCAAACCGCACTGTTACATTCGAATCCACTGCCGAAAGCAATCTACCAAATCCGGTCGCCTTTCTTCATCCTCCCTTTGGATTCAATGTAGTTGAGTTCGTACCAGAGCGAAGAAGACGACGTGTTTCCGAACGGGTGCAACGTCATCCTGGAGGCGTCCACGTGCTCCGACGAAAGCTGAAGGTTCTTCTGGAAATCGTCAATCACAGTCAACAAACGGTCAAATAGATGGAGGACCAAATCGTGTCAAAATTGCAAAGTTAAGGACTTAATTGGTTAAAATTGAAAGTTAAGGACCAATTTGTGAATTTAGCTATAGTCGAGGGACCATTTTGGGTATTTACTCATTTATTTATTTGGAAATGATAGTAAAAAGCTAATGTTACATACAAGATCTGAAATTAGCCTAACTCGAAGTTAGCGTTTAAGTTCTACATAAGATACAATCTACACCGGAGATGGAGACAATAGAAATTCCGGTTGCAGTCTCTGCACAAGAATCCCACAAAAAGGACACAAAGGTTTCACTGGTTTTTCGTGTGCGCAACGCCCGACAAAAGACTCGAAATCAGAAGGATATTCTGGCAGTGCAAAGAGGGCCGATGGCACGAGTTGTGAGGCCGATCTCTTACAACACACGCAATGCCATGAAGGAGTCGGGAGGCATACCCGCATGGAAACAGCACAGCGCAACAGCTTATGACTCGGTCCGGTTCCAGCATCGGTCTTCTCTCCTCGACAAAACGCGTTTTCTGGAGAGTCTAATGGAACTAAAGCCGAGCAGAAGTTGCATTCCTCTTCCGTTTTGTATTCGCAAATGGAGCGAAGTTTTCTGTTCAGATGGAGTCAATCAAATATTTATCTACGTCATAGCATAAACACATTTATCACGGGAAAAGATAACGTAAGCGTAAGCGTACCTTTTCTTGGTTTTTCCAACTTTTTCTGCGAGGAGTTTTAGATGCTCGTTCACATCTGCTCTATTAAGATTGACCCATTTCTCCATCTGCGCTGATCCAATAGGAGTCCAACATCCAAACTCCTCGTGACCATTATTCTCATTAGAATTAGATACGAGACTCAAAATAACAGACAGGCTTAACCCAACGAGCCGTTCCCTTAATTCCTTTTCAATGTTCGATTGCAATTGCATCCACAACGTCATTTGTTCCTCTTCAGCTTCGTTGGAACTTCTCAAGTCACACTGTTCGCTGATCGTTTTATCTGCCTCCGGCTTCTTCAACGCTACCTGATTGGTAATGATGTTGAGGAGTTGCAACACTCGGGATGCAATCCTCGGGAGATGTCTGGAGGCCTCGGATAAGATCGTAGAAATCCCGGATTGGGATCTAAATATAGACGCCAACCATTTTAACAGTACACGTTCTACATATTTAGGAACGGACTGATTGAAGGCCGAGAGTGCTGCTATAACATCCCACACAACTACCGCCTTTTCTAGATGCTCACATTGGCGTAGCGACCATATTATATTATTTTCCCAACTGATCATTTCTTGCTCGGAGAAACCGGGGAAAGATTCTACATTGCAATCTGGAAGTAAATCGGGGAAAGTATCTAGATGCTGCCCCCCAATCCATAGGAATGCTACTGCAGCTTTACAAGCCCTGGGTATTTTAGCAATCATCAAGAAACTCCTCTAAGAAAATTCCTTATAGCTCAAAAGAAGCAATTAATGACGAAGATAATGAAGGAAACGGAAATTTAACAAACTGACCTTGCCTCGTACATTGGATTTAGTTGTTCAACATCATAGCCATGAACCTGCATAAGCGGTGAACGGTGGATGAATAAGAAATGGATCAGAAATGGACTAAAGAGTTAAAATAACGGCCAGACAAGCATTTTTAACGGGCAGAAAGCTACCACAGCAAGGACGAGATTTCCAGGAGATACCGCAAGACCAAAACACGAATCAAAAGCATTTGGCACCTGCAGAAAAAATTTCTCATCACCGTTGAAAAAGATGGCTGATAACCACAAAAGAGTGAAACTAAGATACATGGCGGGATGCCTTACATCAGCAGGGTTCTTCACTACGGGAGTATTTGATGGAAAAGGAACTTGTCGTAGGGAATTTTCCATAAATATCCAGCTGCAAAGGGAGTTGTCCTGTACATTATTCAGAAAAAGAACCGAATTATTCATCTTGATCCCATAGGTTGAACGACTTAAAAGCTTTGAGTTCTTTATTTTATTTTCTTATTAAGGATCTTTGGTAAGGGAAAGGAGATTACCTGGCTGCAGCTGTAAAGACAACGACCATCAAAAGCCCAGGCTAAACCCGTGACCTGGGAAATTTACACAAGTTTAGGGTAACAATTACGCAAACAAAACATGGATCAATAATAAGAACTCACGATGTGATTATGCCCGTGGTATGAGCCAGCTTTCTCAAATGTGCTGTTAGGTGTCTCACAAACCCACACATCAATCGATCCCGATCCTTTCCCGATAGCTAAACACGTTTTTCTTGGTGAATCTAAAGGCACAATGACTGAAAGCACAGAGACCGGTGCATAATCGATGACTGTAACCTGTCACCAATAGGCAAAAAATAGATTTTATTGTGTCCCCTTATAACTGAACAAAGAAATAAAAATATAATGCTCTAATGAAATTTGACCTCTTTTAAAAGAGAGAAAGAATCATGACTAATGTCGGAAGAATCCTGAAGTTCTCTATTACACGCCCGCCAAATCTTCACACTATCAATTGAAGTTTAATATAAGATAAGCCTCAGAAAATGTCACACGGGAACTTATAAGATCTTACGGGTAATCATTGTATCCGCTATGAGTACTAACCTCCCATCAGAACTCCCCGTGCAAAGCAAAACTCGAGGATTTGAAGCGTCAGAAACTTGTAATGTCCAAGTTATTGCCGTAACCCAAGTGTCATGAGCTTGAAGGAAACCCAAAAGCGATGCCGAATTTGAATCTGTACCACTCTGCGTGGAGTAGCATTGTGGTTTACGGAATCTCCAGAATGATAGTCTACCAGACTTCCCTCCAACCGCAAGCACTGTACAGCCATCTGTCGAAGGTATACGGGCCCCACAAGCCGATTGTAGATAGGGTGACCAAGCAACAGTGAGCAAAGATAGCATTGCATTACGAGATGCATATTCTTCAGCAGTGATTAATGGAGGACCAGAATTTCGTGATGCTGCCTTGGAGCGTTTTGCCTCAGATGCCGGAACATGATTTGAATCTTTTTCTACCACCTATGTATGGGAATTAAAAGTATCATAAGCAAATTTTGGTCTAATCAAATCAAATTATTAAAGGAAAGCTGGTTAGTTTCTCTTTTTTTTCCCCGCTTTTTTCTGAATGTGATGTGAATCTTTAAATCTAAAGATTCCCACAATATAATTCCCCTCATATTTTAAGCTACATAACATAAGTGAAACAGTAGCAAATGGTGTACGTTACAGTCAAGGCTTTCAGTTTCCGTTTCTTATTTGCTTTCATGAACTGAGATATTGGCACATCGTCATCTGGGTCATTGTCAGCTTCAGTTGTCTGTTTATCAAATCGGGAAAAAGAATAAATTATCTAGATGAAAAAAAAAAAAAAAAAAAACACGGAATTACAAGAGAAAGAATGTCTAAAAAGGTAATAAAAGATATCACAAAAGTAAGTTATCCGCTTACATCTGGAACATTTGAAGATATGCTTGACACCTCGAAATTGGCTTTTTCAAGATAATCGTATAGCATCTCAGATATATCCATTACCTATTAACGTTAAAGGAAGAAGGCTATAACACCAAACAGAAGACAAGTTACGATAACAAAAGAAAATATCAACACGTTTCCTGTGCATACCTCTACCCACTCAACTCTAAACTCCCGGAAAGGCATGCGGTAAACCTTTACACGCCCCTCGTTGGTGCATATTGCAAGCAAACAACTGTTTATCAAGTTAAACAAATCATCAAGACGTATTAACAACAGAAAACTGATACAGATAATAGTAGACTAGTAATGGTTAGAAGCGCAAACCTTGCATTTGGAGCAAATCCAATAGGAGACCAAGAAATTGACCTAACACAAGGGCGAATGTCCCGTGATACACAAGTAGGTAATAAACAGCCAGAAAGCAAGTCTGTCCAAACCCCAAGAAGGAACAAATATGAGCATAAATTGATTGAAAAATTGCATCAATACTATATAAAATGCATAATCATAACAAAAAAAAAAAAAACCCTAAGCTTGCTCGACTACATCCACCAGTCTGTTTGGCACCCAATGTGGTGGGCTCCTTGTGGGCACCAGTGTGGTGCTTACCACCTAATGAGCCACTAAGTCACCGTGATCCACCCCTCCCCTATCCTGTCAGGCCGGGGTCTGGCGCCCTTGTGGCAAGAGAATTTTGCCTTTCTGTGGGCAAGTAGGCTCTTACCAGTCTATTGAATTTCTCAAAAACTTAATATTGAGCCTTTGAAGAACACCATGGAAAAAGTAACACTAATCTATTCCATGGCATAAAGAATTGCACAAATTTACCTTTTTTGCCAATCAACCCAAGATGAAAAGGCTTGCTGGCAGGGATTGTAATAAGACCTCGAGCTCCAAAAAGCTTAGCTGGGTTCTAAAAGATTGGAGGTTAGACAAATTTCACTCCATCAAACGACAAAACTATAAGACCTAGAATTAAAAAACTGAAGAAAACATTTTTACCAGGATGGAAACAAGGTGACCAGAAGCCACTGCCAACAAATTCTCGTCCGACCAGGCAATAGCATTGCCGCAGGATGGCGAAGCCACCAGCGCAGTAGCTTGGAACCCCAAAGACATTGTTTGTAGACCCAACCTCTAGACTTTCAGTTCCAAACAACCCAAAGATTCAATCTTTCCCCACATATGGGCTTCTCCACAAATCAAAGATTCAATCTTTCTCCACAAATCTGCAATCTGCCCAAATCCTCAAAATCTGCAAAAACAGAAAACAGAATTAAGGAAGTAATTAGGGCAAAATTAGCAAGTAATTAGGGCAAATGAACTGATTTGCAGGTCAAAGAAATTCGCAAGTAATGAAGACGGAGAACTGAAGAAGACTACCGTGGTCCGTGAAGCTGACGGAGCCGCAGAGAGGAGACCGAGAGAGGACAGAGGCGAGTGGCGAGATGACACCATGTACTTCTACGCAGGGAGTTGGGAGATGCAATCCTACTAAAAAGATGAGTTCAAGAAGTAACCAACAATTCTTGACTTCTTGTACTTTGATTTTATGAAACACAATTGTTTTTAGTTAATCTTAATTTTTAAGGATATTATTCTATTTTATTTTTTTTAATGCCACTGAATCTATTAAAATGTAGTATTTGTTTATAATTACTTTCTCAACCTACTGAAGCACAAAGAGTCAATAACACCTCCAGTGAGACTCGAACTCATAATAATTTTCTATATAGGAGTCCAACCCGAATGTTGTCTGAGTACAAGATGCTTGGCAGGATATTATTCCATTTGATAAATCACACAATTAACTTTTTGTTTAGCTTATTATACCAACTTTTATATTGTCATACATACACATTTGTGCATTCAAATAAAATATATAGCACCGAACTAATATAATCAATTGTTTAACAACGAAAAAATAAAATACATAAATAGACAAGTTCATACTAAAATAGAATCAACGTCATGTAAAAAGTTACTCATAGTTGCCATCCAAATTCATGTAGAAAAATTATTGTTGATAATTATATTTTAGGTTGTAAGTGTTTATGAGGTAATTTGTGTCAATTATAATAAGAATACCATATTATTTATGATCAAATTTAACTCTTTAATTTGTAAGAGAATACAACTTTTTTTTTTTTTTTTTTTTTTTTTTGGGTATAGTTACAAAGTGAATGGCGAATCTTTAATTAAATAATGTAATATAATATCCCAATATAATAAGATTGAGTAGAAGAAAAGTGAAAATGAACAATTGGTTATAAATAACATATTTAGGTATTATCTCTTTATACATTAGGTTGACTAAAGTCATCATATTTAGTAATATAAATATTTAAATAAACATGCAAATTTTATGAAAATAATAATTTGTTGAGTACATGAAAATAATAATTAAGCAATCGATTTAAAAAAAAAAAAACTTAAAAAACATGTATGAATTGATCAAAATATTGTTATTAATATTTTAAACCAACCATCTTCATATTATCATTAACACAATAACTTATGAGTATTTTTTGTCTATTTGAAAGTTAAATTCGTAAGAAATCGTCACATATGTGTCATATCTTTAATTAGAAAATTAATAGAAGAATTATAAGTGGCTATCATGTTGTTTTGGTCTTAGATCTATAGACAAAGAAACCCTCATCATCCTTGAAGGAAAATCGAGAACAAAATAGTGCTATTCTTTTTTTTTTTTTTTCTAATGCCGTGTTATTCTTTCATGATTCAGATAATTATTTTTATATTTTAATTTACAATTTAAAATATATATATAATCATAGTGCACACAAATTTTTCACATTGTTAATCATCATTTTCAACTTAACATGATTGATTAAAAATGTTAAATTTTGTTAAGCCTAAAAATGTTTTTAAAAAATTCTTTTAATGACCAGTGAAATATACAAAGTTTATTATTGGTATGAATAAATAAACTTCACTTTTATAGATAGTTATTACATTACACTAGAAAAATCATTTGCGACATACTTAATAAAAAGATATTAAAAAATTCAACTCATAACGTTGTGCAGTTCTGATACAAAAATCATACCCTATCACTCAATTATCTATTTCAGATAAATATAATAAGATATTAGAGATATATATTTAATTTTTATTTTTATTACTATGGTCGATGCAAAGATTTTTTTGTGAGTATTTGTTCATTTATACCGCCTCCATTGAGACACAAAAAGAGTGTCAATACCGTCCTCATTGAAGCTGGAACTTATGACATTTCATTCGAAGAGAGTCACTTCATATCACTTGACCACAAAGTCGATGCAAAATTGGGTAGGCTCCCCTATTTAGTCTTTATTTTATCAAAATGTATGCTTTCAAATCGATTACGAATCAAAATTAGACCTTATAATATGGATTTGATTCGAACAATATCAAATTAACCAGCCAGATAGTGACATAATTCATTTTTTTCAAAGTTGAAACAGTGAATCAGCTACAACAGTATTATAGTATCCAATAGTTCTTGGTTTCCAGCAGCACAAGATTTCACGTTTTCTTCATTTTCTTATTCTCCGTCAGTTGAACAGTGGACAGTCACATAATTCTTTCCCATAATATAAAAAACTCCAGTCTCCAGGTTTCCTGTCCCCAGTCTGAACTGCCATTCCACTTCTCAGCTTGGAATTCGGGGCACCAGAATTCAGAATTGTTTGCATTTCAGAGTGCTTCATGCAGGAAGCATTGCTCGTTCCGGTTATGGGTTCGTTCAATTTTCCCTAATTCTTTGAATATATACATGTATGTGTGTATGCATTAGTCGGAATTTATTTTGGTTTAATTAAGCTAAATTATGGCTTTCAAGTTGCATAATTGGATGGATATGGCGGCTGATAGATAAATTTGGGGTTTTCTCATATCTGCTGTTGGATGTGGAATTTCAGATCTGACTTCTGAGCAGAATTATTTTTGTTGAGTTATTTATTTATTGTTTTCTTTTGTTTATTAATTTGTTGTATTATGTTTGTTCCCTCCTCGTTTGTGGTGTTGAATTATCCACAATGGGGTATGGGTTTGGGTTGTGCTCTTCTTGGGCAGAAGTGTATAGTTTGATATTGAGTCTTTGAAACTAGATTGACTCGATTTATCTCATGGGTCTGGAGCAGGTTCATAGGTCCAGGATATAGTCCACCGAAGTCGGGAAACCTGGGTTATCAAAACAAAAAAAAAAATTATCCACGTTTTATGGAGTAGAATTAATCATGGGTTTGTGAGTGTTCATGACTCTGCGTTTCTGAGGATTTTATTATTATGTATATGTGTATGTATGTATGTATATGAGGATTTGAATGGTTGATCGTGCTGTTCTTTAATCTTTATTGCATTTGGGTACTTCAGAATCTACAGAACTAGCATTAACCTTTTAGGCATGGCTTGGAATGTTTTAATACTGATGGGGTGATTCCCAAAGGTTCATATGGTCTTGGGGAATTCGTTTTGAGATTAGTTTATACTGACAAATTGGAGAAGCCAAAACGCTCCTCTTAGTTTTCCAGAAGCATTCGAGAAATGGGAATATTGAAGTGCTAGCAAACTTTCCGAAAATATTTTCTTGTTTTTTTCTTTATCCCATCTAGAGTACTAGATTATTAGCACATGCTTCAACAATGTTTAGTTCTTCCTTTTGCCCCTTCAATCCTTCTCATCCACTTGTCTTTTTGGTGGGAAGTAATACTAAAGAGGAAACAATGAAATTTGAGTTTTAAGTCTCAACCGCCATAGTCTCCTGGATTTGTAGTCACTGTGTTTCATGAGGTCTATGAAGCGGTTCACTTGTAGTAACAATTCAGCTACCTCTCAGTATATTAATTCTTTGTAATCTATGCAGCTTAAGTGGTTATTCTCATTTTTATTGGTTTTCGTTACACCATGAAAAAGGGGCACAAATTGAGGTTGATTACCTATCCCTGGCACCTTGCTTTCTAAACTATTTTGGAAACGCCTTCTGAAATCTATATCAATATCTATACGCTTGTGAACTATACAGTTTATTTACTCTGTATTAATTTTCTTTTATATATAAGTAACCATGAACTACACACCTATTATTGGTATTTTAAGAATATGCCTCCTAACTAGAGTTTCTATGCTCCATCAATTCTTAGAGAAATAAAGCGGTGAAAATGACTATCAATGTGATTATGTGAGAGCCATGCAATGATTCTCATTTTATGGGTAATTTGGGACATTAACCATTTCAATATTTTGCTTGACAATTGCTCATTTTGTTGTACAAATCAGCATTAGTCCTTTAGAAATCCTCCCCAGTAGCTAATTCTTAGTGGAAGTCCTTAAGCAGCTAAGTGCATAAAAGGGAAACGGGAGGGGAAAAGGGTTAAAGCCTCGAGCAATTCTGAGTTATGTGAAGATTTGAAGCATCACATCAGCACCTGAATTTGTTTCTGATTTATGTATATTTGATTCTTTGTCTTTACCATTTATTGTGCTTTATTCAAGTTTTGATCAGTGATGTTCTGTGATTATTGACTCTCTTTAGAGGAACAAATGGAAGGCTCACAGCCACAATCAATACGGCAAAAGATTTCTGCCTATAGGACCATGGTTTGGGATGCTTATAGAAGCAAGCCAATCTCGCACTGGGTTCTTCTACTCCTAAGTTGTGCAGCAATGCTTATTGCATTCCCCGCTTCTAGCCTCTTGTCTAGACTTTATTTTGCCAACGGTGGGAAGAGCAAGTGGATAATTTCGTGGGTTGCGGTTGCAGGGTGGCCTATGATTGCACTAATCTTAGTTCCTATGTACTTCGTTCTTCGAATATATCCTACTCCACTAGACCTGAAATTAACTATATGCTATATCGGGTTGGGCTTCTTAAGCTCGGCTGACAACCTCATGTATGCTTACGCCTATGCCTACCTTCCGGCTTCAACTGCTGCTCTTCTGGCATCGACATCACTGATCTTTTCTGCATTATTTGGATTCCTTCTGGTGAAAAATAAGATCAATGCATCAATCATTAATTCTATTGTGATCATTACTGCTGCTATGGTCATCGTTGCCCTTGATTCTGATTCAGACAGATATTCGTACATCACAGACCATCAATATGCGATGGGCTTTGTGTGGGATATTCTGGGATCCGCTCTTCACGGGCTAATCTTTGCACTATCGGAGTTGGTTTTCGTGAAACTACTAGGCAGAAGGTCGTTCCATGTGGTGTTGGAACAACAAATCATGGTCTCCTTCTTCGCCTTCGTGTTCACAACAATCGGGATGGTCGTGAGCAACGACTTCCAAGGGATGAAATCCGAGGCTCGAACTTTTATAGGCGGTCAAAGTTCGTACTACCAAGTCATCATCTGGGGCATCATAACGTTCCAGTTAGGCATTCTGGGAAGCACCGCGGTTCTGTTCCTCTCGTCCACCGTGCTGGCTGGCGTCCTCAACGCCATAAGAGTGCCAGTCACAAACATTGCAGCTGTCATATTGCTGAGTGACCCCATGAGTGGTTTCAAGATCCTATCTTTGATCATTACATTTTGGGGATTTGGCTCTTACATATATGGCAGCTACCCTCTGAGGAAAGATTTTTGATCAACTGGTGAGCATTCTTTGTTCATATATACAATATTGTGGAGCAGTGGATCTCACGAAATCTCGGGCTCGGTAAATGTTGATTGAAATTATCAATGTTGAAGAAGCTGAAGCTACAAAAGTGTGGTACTAATACTTGTGTAATCTGGAATTCTGGATACAAAATGAAATATATGAGATTGAAATTATCAATGTTGAAGAAGCTGAAGCTACAAAAGTGTGGTACTAATACTTGTGTAATCTGGAATTCTGGATACAAAATGAAATATATGTTTATATAAAGCGCAGTGGATATCAAAGATGATTGTTTCATGTTTCACTTTTACTATTTCCGTTGCCGGGAATCGAACCGGGGTCTTTCGGGTGAGAGCCAAATATCCTAACCAACTAGACTAGAACGGATTTGATGTTAGGTTTGTTCATGAAAAAATATTATAGATTTTGTTTCTTTTGGATTGTAGGACCCTAACAGCATATTGAATGAATAGTACCTTACCCCTCCATACATTTAATATATTTTAAACTATATACATGGTTATTCCAATAAAAATAGGGGTGCTATTCGATATCTCAATTTGGACCCCTTTTTAAGTAATTCTTATATATAAATAATAATTGTTTAAAAAAAATTATGTCAAAATATAAATATTGTATAAAAATTTAAATCTAAAATTTCACTTAAAAAGTTTTATGGGTAGAGCAAAATCATCTACCAAACAACTGTCTCACAATCACCTGAATCTTCTATATGAAGATTAGCATTTAACAATTTTTCCTTAGAGCATCTCCAACCGGCGGTAAAACTGCAAATTTCAGCGCCATTCCACCATTTTGCCAAAAAATTTCATCTCCAATGTGCATCGCTAAAACGCCATCTCGCCAAACTTTTTAGCGTTAATGAACAGTGCTGCGCCATATTTGGCGTGACACTGTTCATCTGCGTCAAATATAAAAGGGTGAGGAAAGTACCATTTTGCCCTTGCTCTTTTTTATAATTCCAAATGTATCCTTTATTTGTTTTATATGTAATTTTTTATTTTGTTAAATACTTATATTTAAATTTTGTATTATTACATATAAATTATACCATTTTAAAGATCTCGTTAAGACGATCAAAACAAGACTAATATTGAATATATATTAATTAAAATTTCAAATGTATTAAACATAACTAGAACATAATAAAAATTAAAATACATACAATATACATCAAATATGACTAGAACATAATAAAAATTAAAATACATATGACATAATATTGATATCAGACAATTTAAAGATAAAGAAGTTCATTATGAACTCCGTAATGCATTGATTGAGCATTTGTGGGAACGATTTAGTAATTCCGATAATTAAATGTACTAGATGATGTTGTATACTATATTATTATGGAATAAATTAAAATTTTTAAAATAATTAATATTATAAAAAAATTAATGTTAATAAAAATTGTTATTTACATTACAAATTATATTTTATATTAAACTAATTAAGTTCGAACTAAATTATATTAAACTAACTAAATTCGAACTAATAATTGAAAAATAAAATTATTTTAGTGTAAAAGTTTGGTGTTTTGGTGTAAATGGGTTGGAGATGAATAAAATTTGGTGTGAGAATATGCTGAGAATATTCCTTTTGATGTGACATTTGCTAAAAAAATTTGGTGTTTTAGAGTTGGATGGGTTGGAGATGCTCTTAGTAGCTTCTTTTTGATCATATATTTGAATTTCTTTTGTAATGAATTTTTCAAGAGCTCCCTTTTGAGATTGATCCGAGTTAGTTGATCAATTCTTCTTTTCCTTTTACGCTTCTCAGACCCATATGAATATTTTCTAGAAAACATAATTATAAAATTCTAAGGAACAAAAAAGAATTTATTTTAAACCACTATGAATAAATAATTAATCAAGAAACATATTCTTGAATATATTATTCAAAATTATTAAGCCGTGCCAATAAACAAGAATTGTGAATTTATACGTACTTGTAATTATCTGTCAAGAAAATTGAAGAACTTGAATGTTTGTGTGATCAAGAACTCAAGAAGTAGTTGATGAGAACGCGTAATGAATTTGACCATTTGTGTAATGAATTTGCAACAATACTACTATGTAGGTTTTATTTTTTTGAAAGGAGCCAGGGTGACATTTTATTCAAAGTAGTGTGAAATTGTAGCTGGTGGGAGTAAATCCCAATACATAGCTGTATACTGACTAATAGCTGAGGTAGCTAGAGCATGTGCTAAAAAGTTCTCCGATCTAGGAACAAAAGCAACTAAACAAGAATGTAAAGAAGAAATTAAATTCCCGCAACTATCTATTGCATAGCCAATATATGTTCGATCAGGACGAGCCGTAGAAGTCAGATATTGCTTGACCATTAAACAGTCCGTGTGTAGTTCCACAGAATCCTCACCACGATCATTTAGCCAAGACAAAGCTTCCTTACACGCGAATGCCTCTACCATAAGATACGAGAAACAACTTGGAAGCGAAGAAGCATAGGCGGAGATGTATCCACCATTTCCATCCAATAAAATTGCACCTACCCTGGCCGTATTTGAGGAATGGTGATAGCTCGCATCCACATAGCATCGGCGAGATGGCTGCACCGTGCGGTGACGCAGCGTGGTGTTCGGCAGTGGCGAGGGCCGTGTGGGTTTGTGTTGGGGCGGCAGCATGGTGTTCGGGTAAGTGGTGCACGGCACGCCAAGCTTGCAATGTGGAGGTAGCCGTTATCAAAGTCTTCTTCGGCATTGACACGTAGGCATCCCATACCGCATTGTTCCTTGCCATCCAAATGTGATATAGAATTGCAGCTGCATACATCAGACCATCAGTGTCTAGATTATCCAAGATCACATTAAACCACTCATAAAAATATTCGACTGAATAACAGGGATTGGGAGGTTGGCTTGCCCCCATACGGTCTTGGCAAAATCACATAAAACTAATGCATGCATCGTATCCTCATGCATCATCCCACACATGGGCACAATTTGGCTCAATATCAACTCTTTTGTTAATCAGGTTCATAGTCGTAGGCAGAATATCACTTAGGGCTCTCCATAGAAAGGCTCTCCATTTGGGGGATTTTAAGTTTCCACAGCACCTGCCATTTATTAAAGGTGGTATTCGTATTATCATACCTCCCAACAATGCATCTATACCCACTCTTCACAGAATAGATCCCTCTAGGATCATCATGCCAATACCATGTGTCTGCATATTCTGGTGATACCGGAATCTTCATTATTCTGGATACATCCTCTGGCAAAAAAATATCAGATAAAATTGAGGCATCCCATGTCCCAGTATCCTGGTCAATTAAACCTACCACTCGTGCATTAGCCAATTGTGGAGGCATTTTCGTTTGGATCATTGGTTCCTGCTCATCCAGCAGCCAGGGGTGATCCCATATTCTCGTATCCTGCCCATTCCCTATCCTCCGCCGTACTCCACTACAAACCATGCTTCTTGCTGCCATAATACTTCGCCAACAAAAACTTGGATTATTCCTAAGGGATGCTTCTGAAAAAGTATCTTTCGGATAATACCTGGCTTTATAGACATGCGCTTCTAGGGATTCAGGTTTTGTTAGTAGTCGCCATGCCTGCTTCCCCAACATTGCTAAATTAAAAGCTCTGAGCTCCTTAAAGCCCAACCCACCATACTTCTTAGGGATACATAATCTATGACATGCCTTCCAGTGAATTCCCTGGTTAGTGCCTAAATTTCACCATAAATGGTTTATACCTTTGTGGTTGATCAAATCTCCTCACCAACGGTCATACCTAAAAAAAAAAAAAGTAATTAAAAATTAAAGATTGTAAAGACTGAAAATAAACACGAGATGGGAAATGGAAAGAAGTTGGTGGCAAAAGGAGAAATAATTAGAAAAAGAATAAAGTAAAAGCAAAAAGAAAAAGACACCATAAGAAAAGAAATAAAAGAAAGAAAGTGGAGTTGGTGACTTGGGTGGAGAAAGAAAAAAAAAGGCCGGAATGGCTCCGTCTTCGTAATCCGCTACTTTTGGCAGCTTAATTTTAAGGGGAAACAAATTAAACAAAAAATTCCCCACTAATTACACAGAATAAGTGGGGGAGTAGTTGTTGACTTACAACTCAGATGCAATAATTCATGAAGGTGACTAAAATAATTCTATTTTTCCAAAAAAAAAAAAAAAAAAACTTGTGTTTATCCTATACTCTGGTCTGCAAAAATTCCTCCCTCATTTCTTCATTACCTCTTCTAAGAGCAACATCACTGGCTATGGCGGCTTTTGGTGCTGTAACCATTTTAATGGACACAGTACTCCATCAACACTTCCTCCAACCCACTCCTCGTTTCCCTCTTCGCAACAAAACAAAGGTCAGATTACTTTACAAAAATCTTTCTTCTTTGCAAACCTCTCTTCAACAAGATTTCAAAGTGGGGGACTGTGATGAAGCTATCAAAGCTTTGGAAGCACAAGTGGGATATGTCTCGGTTGAACTAAGGTTCCAAATGGAACACCAATTGAGATTGTTTTACCTGGGGAAATCCATGAAGCTTAGGCTTCACTCTGCTAAAAAGCTTCTTCCGTTATTGAATCGAGCAATTAAAGGCGGCTTGGAAACTGTGGATTTCAATTCTGTGATGGAGATCATAGGGAAGCACTTCACGCTGCCGGTATCAAGCATGCCGCCTCATATAAACAAAAGGGTCAAATCCTTTTGCACGCAGCATCAACTCTATGCCAAAAAAATTTTCCATTATGAAACAGAGAGTGAGGATGATGATGAACAAGAGAGCAAGAATGAAGTACTTCATAGGTACTTCATTGGGCCCGTAAGGCGCGTGTCGTCTCAAATAAAGAAAAAGGTGAAATTTTTTTTCAGACGGGAAAGGAAAAGCGATGATGAGGCAGAGAGAAGGAGGAATATGTTGTATGAAGCAGAAAGTGTAATCAGACAAGAACTGAGAGCCTCTTATCTCAACAAATACATGAAACAACGGATACATGCTACACAAAGGATTCGTCAACTCTTCATCCAAGGAATTAGCCTCACATCTTACATCAACAAAGAGATGTTCAAGGTTAAGAATAATGCATACCACCAATCCAACAACTCACAAAACAACAATCCTGCTTCTCTTAGAGGGCTGGAACTTGATAACATTACTGTTGGTGATTCAAAGTCTGCAATCAAAATGGTGGGCTGCGATGATGAGTTCAACACCATAATGGACTACCTGAGCCAGCAATCCTCAAAACGAGAAATTGTCTCAATTGTGGGAATGGGTGGCATCGGTAAAACCACCTTAGCTAGAAAGATTTATGAAGATGCCTCAATCATTTCTTGGTTTGATTGTCGAGCTTGGGTTACCATCTCACAGGACTATAATCCAACACAAGTGTTCCAATGCCTGCTTCATTCTCTTGCCCCCGGGGCCAGTGACAACAATGGTGCTAGCAACTACGAATTGGCTGAGAAAGTATACAGGCTTCTAAAACATCGAAGGTATTTGATCATAGTAGATGATATTTGGAGTACAGATGTCTGGGATGATTTAATGAGATGTTTTCAGGATGACAATACTGGAAGTCGAATATTGTTGACCACTCGGCAAAAAAATGTGGCTGATTATGCTAATCCAGGTAATAATTTTTGCCATACCTTGCGCTTTTTGGATTCAAATGAAAGTTGGAATCTTTTTCAGAGCAAGGTGTGTAAGAGATCAATAACTCTACTGTCCCCTGAATTTGAAAAAATTGGTAGAGAGATAGTAGACAAGTGCAAAGGATTACCTCTTGCAATTGTTGTGGTTGCTGGACTCCTCTCAAACTCCAACCAAACTATTCATGAATGGGAGCATATTGCAAAATGTGTCCCTGCTTTGAGTTTAGATCATTCTAATCAGCAGGGTGAGAACATCATTGATTTGAGTTACACCTTCTTGCCTCATCACCTTAAACTTTGTTTTTTGTCATTTGGGTGTTTTCCAGAAGATTATGTGGTTTCTGAACAGACGATGGTTGATTTTTGGGTTCGGGAGGGATTTCTAAAGGTTTTGATGTCTGATGAGAGCTTGGAAGGTGTGGCAAGGAGGAACTTTCAAGATCTTGTGGATAGAAATCTTGTTCTAATTCGTCGAGACAGAAATGATATAGAATTATATCAAATGCATGATGTCTTGCGTGAATTGGCTTTGAGAGAAGCCCAAAAAGAAAATCTTTTATGTTTCAAGAAGGGTTATGATATAATTAGTTTGAGGTGGAAGAGAAATGAATCAATAAAGTCTTCCCATATATCTCAACCATGGAGCATCCAATCAAGAATTTGCAGTTACAACACTATAACTCCTACTACCAACACTTCTTCACTGATTGATAGAATTTATTTTGGCAGGACTTCAAGACGGGTGGGGGTGTATGCACATTTTAAGTTTTTAAGGGCATTGGAAGTATCCAGTGTGCAGATAAATGTCCATAATATTTTTTTGGAGATTGTGGGTCTAGTGCATCTGAGATTCTTAACTATTAAGTGTGGGTTAAATATTCATTATCTGCCTTTGTTCATGATGCGGAATCTACAGGAGCTACGAGTTTTTAATTATTCACCATGTGTACCCCTTGATATTTGGGGATTACCTCAATTAAGGAATCTCTATGTTAATGGAATCGTTACACTAGTTCCTCCAAGATCGGTTCATCATAATTTGGAGAGCATTAGATGGTTGGATTATAGGAGTTGTACAATGGAGTTGTTCTTGAGGATCCCAAATCTAAGGACATTGAAAGTTACTACTAATGATAAAATTAAATGCAAAGCTCCCAATTGGTTTGAAAGTCTTGTCTATTTATATAAAGTGGAAACACTGGTGGTTGATGATGTCGAACTTCCGGAGTTTAGAACTATTTATTCTATGGGGATGCTAAGCCTAGAGAATTTTTGGCCAAATCTTAAGGTGTTAAGTTTCTCGAAAACATATTTAAAATGGAAGGATATGGATGTTATTGGTAAGTTGTCTAAGCTTGAGGACCTCACATTGTATAGATGTGCTGTTAAGGATCAAAAATGGAAACCCAAAGATGGAGGATTTCGTCAATTAAAGTTCTTGAAGATATATGGGAGTCCTCTACAATATTGGGAAGCCACTAGTAATCATTTTCCCGTCCTTGAAAATCTAGTCCTTTGTGACATAGATTTGAAAGAAATTCCTAGTGATTTTGTAGAAATAACTACTCTCAAATCAATCAAATTAGAAAGTTGTTTAGAGTCACTTATATCATCTGTTAAGCGTATTCAAAATGAGCAGCAAGAGTATGGAAATGACACATTTGTTGTTGATATTTCTGGGTCAGATTTCTATATCTACCTTGGCTTTTCAAAAATAATATTAAATTAAGATTTATTTTTGAATCCTTATTTTTCATCATTTTAATCAAAATTTATATCAATTTCAGCGATTAATTTCTAAACCATATTCAAATGGTATGTTGCCCAGAGGTTTTACCAACGCATCAAACTGTAAGTGTATTCACAATAGAACGATACAAGAGTACAGATAGACTATACACATATACAATACCCTTTATACTTTCATATTGAGTAAGTTTTCTCCTTTTAAATTTTTTGTTTTCAGGCCCACTGGTTATTTAAGGTGAGAGTAGGGTGCACACTGGACAGGCGGGTGGGGCTTCTAGGAGTGCATGCTCCGAAAGCTAGGGTTTGAGGAGGATTGGGTGATAAGGTTGATTATGGTATGTATCTCAAAGATAAAATATAATGTGCTAGTAAATGGTGTTGTGACAGGGCAGGTTAGTCCTACGAGGGGACCCATTGTCACCGTATTTGTTCATAATAAGTGTGGAGGAAATTATCATGTATTGGATCTAAAGATTTTTGATTTTTTCAAATTACAGTGATGGAATTTTCAAATTATGATGTTTTGTTAAATGATTTTGCAATTTGTAATTACTTTGTTTTAAGTTGGTAGGTAATTAGGATATCTTTGATTTATTAATTGATTGGAAGAGGAATGGCTAATTCATTTGAAGGGTAAGGCTCTTGTTTTTTTTCTTTGTTAAACAAGTGTTAGTTTAATTGTTAAGCTTAGCAAAAGGATACTTCTGTTGTGTTATCATAGAGCTGCCATTCAAGATTTTAATAATCTTTTAAGGTTAGGAATTTGCAGTTTTGTTTTGTTTGCCTCTGTTTCTTTCAACACCCATCTTCTTTATGCTTGATGTGGGTTACAAATGCTTTATAGTGTGAAGTACCTTAACACTACTCTAGGCTTGAGTAGTAGTAGTAGTATTTGTATGAGTGATTGTAAAAAAATATTGTTTCGGGGATAAATGCTACTTCTCGCCCCAGCACTGTAATCTGAAGACTTCAACACAAGCTTGGCCGTGCGGTACAATCTAGTTAGTCTTCATAATTACAGAGCAGTTTTTATTTTCTTTTTGAGATGAGGTTGGTTGGCTTAAGTGTTGACATCTTCTCTTATATATGGTTGTAATTTTCTATTTGAGATTCCCGTGTGTATTAACCTATTAGGTTTTTAGTTTAGAAGCATTATTTATTCGGTTCTGTCATGGATTCTCAATGATTGTGAGTTGTTTTACATGGCAGTGTGATTTACTCGATATACCTGCTTTTGCACAATTGGAGAATGATGCTAAATATGCTCTGGTACGGTGTATCAACTTCTTAAGATCTTTTTGACTCAGAGGTTGGATGCATACCTGGATTTCCAACCAGCAAATTCCACTATTGAAAAGCTATGGTAACTATACGTTCCTATGTGTTGGGTGCATACAATTCATTTTTACTGACTTTACATTTTCTTATAATATAGGCTCTAGTGAATCTGGTCAAATTCCTTATTCTGTGATCAAGGATGTTCTGCAGGTAAAATCTTTTATGTAATGTTTCAATTAGCCTTTTTTTTGTTTTTTTTTTTCTGGGATCGGACATGCAAACAGAGACACAGTTATTTGATTAATTCAATTTCATTACTGATCAAGTTGGTGCATTTATGACTGCACATTGATTACAATAAGGTGGAGCCATGGGTTGTCAAGGTAATCACAGTAAAGTTAATTGATTACAAGATTGATCAAATGTGAGGTACGCTGTGAGCTTCACCCATTGACATCTTTTATCCACTCCTTGTTTATGGGAGAACTTTAAGCAGTACTCCGTAACTTTTTAATGTAGGTACTAGATGAAGGAAACAAGCACCAAAACAACATTCATCCTCTAGTCATTATGTTGATGACAATCTTCTACATGATATATTCGATTGAATAAATTATGTTGTTTTATATTTTCATATTAAAATACTTTTTTGTTTTCTATGAAATTTAATTGATATATAGCATACTATGCTCCAAATATTACTGAATCATATTTAATGTTATTATTTAACGAATAGTAGTTTACACTTGACTTTCTTTCAAATTAAATGTGTATATAAAAAGCTTATTTGTGACTGCAATACATATTTGAATATTGAGATTTATGAGAAAATATAACTAAATGGTAATTATAAAAATGAGAAAATTTCAATTTTGATCATATGACTATAGGGGTTTTGTTAATTTCAGCACCTGACTTTCAAAAGTGTCAATTTAGTACCTTGACTATACAATTTTTATCAATTTTGGTCACTCCGGTCAAATTTTCGGCCAAATTTCGTCGAAAAATTTTAACAGTTAAAATAATGAGGGTATTTTAGTCATTTCACATCTCTTCCTTCTTCTCAGGCGAATTCATCGTTTCCAGCGAATCCGAGGATGAGGTGCGCTGCGATGCTTTCAACATTATCGCCGGTACGTACCTCCAAACATAAAAAGATCAAATTAACATATAGTGAACTGAAATTAAACCTAACCATAAATGTGCCACAATAATGTACTGCTGTTTTCTATCAGCACCTTTAATTTTTTTTTTTTTTTTTAAACGCGGTTGATTGGGCGTCTCGGCAATCTTTACAGCCTCCTGCGAAGTTCGACTCCGACGGCAACTTGATCCATGACGCCACCCATGAGAAGATGAAGAAACTCATTTTATCCTTAGCAGCTTGCAAAAATCCACATTGCGCCATCTAATGAAGACTGAATAATTTGAATGAGTATATGAAACGAAATTCACCCCTCCCGGAGCGATGGATTTCGCAGGAAACGAAATAATTCAACTCTCATATTTCAAAGAATTTAAAATGGTGAAATTGATGCGATGGAAGGTGTGCTGCTGTGACGGATTCGCCGGAAAAAATGAATTCGTCGGAGAAGAAGGAAGAGATGTGAAATGACTAAAATACCCTTATTATTTTAACTGTTAAAATTTTCGACGAAATTTGACCAGCAATTTGACTGGAGTGACCAAAATTGATAAAAATTGCATAGTCAAGATACTAAATTGACACTTTTAAAAGTCAAGTGCTGAAATTAACAAAGCCCCTATAGTCATATGACCAAAATTGAAATTTTCTCTTATAAAAATTTAACTATGTAATTATAAAATAAATATATATATTTATTGGTGGTTTTAAAACTCCAAAAAAAAAAAAAAAACACACACACACACACAATTAATTATGAAAAAAAATAACAATTATTAGCGACACTTAATAATTGCCACAAATATTTTAAAGCAATAAATAAATTTAGATATATTTAGCTGCGGTTACCGCCGCTAAATGCCAAAGTGAAATAGCCTAGTACATACACCCGTATATCGGGGGAATTAGTACTATCATTTTGGCGCCGTCTGTGGGGATCGTGACAAAGAGCTACGTTCTCATCAACAACCAAAGAGCTACTAAAAATTCTGGGGAAAAATTCAATTTTGGAAAACAATTACTGGAAATAGGAAGAGATTCGAACCCAGATGCACACACTGGGAAACCAACATCGCAACCAATACACTACTAAGCTTCTCTATTCACCTCTCGTGTTTGTTAACAGTCTTCACTTCTGCAGTGTTATGATTCCTAACCATCGACAAGCAACCGCCGCACCACCACCGCAGACAAGCAGATATGAAAAAGGGGTATTTTATTCAATGTTATGTTCTCAGATCCATTTTGCATAGAGAGATTGGAGAGTAGTATGCTTAGATTAGAGAGTGAGGGTCCGAGAGTGAATCGAATGACCTCTTCTACTTTGTGGGCCAAAAAGCCCTTTTATACGCCCGGTGGCAGGTTTGACCCGCCAACTTTGACTTTGACCCGTAGGCAAAGACCCGAACCGCGAGACCCCGACCAGACTGTAAGCGATGGCACGGACCCAGGGTATATAACTTATCATAAAGCCCCCACAGCCCGTGCTCTGACGACAAGTTGCCGAGGAAGGGTTTGGGCTGGAAAAACTAGATACACGGTCTGTGACATGTGCTGGTTGCCTCGTTAAAAACCTTAGGCTAACAAAAAACCCAGTGGGAAAAAACTTTAGCCAAGGAAAAGAGTACAACGCTAAAGACAGTTTGGTGGACCAAAAAAGGAGCGCCCGACCCAGTGGTCGGACTTGCAACGCAACTTGTGAAAGGTCAAACTCAACCGGTTCAACGACTGGACTGCCGGGTGCGACCGGGTTGTCGATTCGATTGCGATATGGAGATCTATTTGACCAACTACGGGGTTGGATTTGCTTACGATTGAGAGATTGGATTTACTCGGGCGAAACGTTACTCGGGCGAAATAAACGTGATTCGACCGACGAACGTGCTACTCGGGCCGGTGTAGCCCTCCACTCCCGTAGGTGCGAGAATCGTCAGCATAAGGGAGTAGATACGACGGGTTGCCGATCGGGAAAAGACCCACCCGGGTTTGGTGCTAAAGCACCGAGCTACACCCACATCATTGACGATCGGGAAATGACTCGACCAGGTTCGCGATGCGAGTGCACCCGGCCATATCCACCACGTCGACGATCGGGAACGACACCGCTAACGAGCGGTACATACATATCGCTAAAAAGCGGTAAAAACATCGCACAAAGGCGGTAAACACATCGCTAAAAGCGGGATCGCCCAAAGGTGGTAAACACATCGCTAAAGAGCGACATCGCTAAGAAGCGGTATATACATCGCTGAAAAGCGGCATCGCTAAGAAGCGGGATAAATACATCGCTGGAGAGTGGCATCGCTAAGAAGCGGTATAGATATATCGCTAAATAGCGGCATCGCTAAGAAGCGGGATAAATACATCACTGGAGAGCGGCATCGCTAAGAAGCAGTATAGATACATCGCTAAAGAGCGGCATCGCTAAGAAGCGGGATAAATACATCGCTGGAGAGCGGCATTGCTAAGAAGCGGTATAGATACATCGCTAAAGAGCGGCATCACTAAGAAGCGGGATAAATACATCGTTGGAGAGCGGCATCGCTAAGAAGCAGTAAACACATCGCTAAAAAGCGAAAAAAACATCGCTAAAACGCGGCATCGCCAAGAGGCGGTATCAACCAGTATAACTGGACTCATAGCTCCGGTGGTGGTAATGCCGACCTAACCGGTCGCAGAGTGCCAGTGGTGGCGAGGGAAACCTAACTGGTCTTAAAAAATGTCGGAGGTGGCAGTGCCGACCTACTCGGTCTAAAAAAGCGCGTAGCTTACTTTCACTTCTCGCCGGAGGTGGTAGTGCCGACCTACTTGGACTAAAGAAGTGCGTTGGCCGACCGGGCGCATGGCCTCAGGTGACCCACATATCAGTATGTTACCCGAGCAGACGAGTTGAACCGGCCGCTCCAGGCCGACCGGGCGCATGGCCTCAGGTGACCCACATACCAGTAAGCCGACCGGGCGCATGGCCTCAGGCGATCCACATATCATTATGTTACCCGAGCAGACGATTTGACCCGGCCGCTCCTCAATCGACCGACCTACCCTGTCCAGCCCCCCACTGTCAGACGCACTTAAGGATAAGGGCGTGTGGCAGTGGAATTACCGGCCGTGCGAACTTAGGGCGTGGTCTCGTCGTCGGGCTACTGCCCTCATCGGTCAGTGCCGGGAAAAAGTTTAGCGACATTGCGGTCGTTGGGTTTTTACCCCTATCGGTCGGTGCCGAATGGGGGGCATTTACCCTCATCGGTTTTAACCGGAAAGTTGGTCCCGGTGCTATCGGGCAAGTTTTAGCGACATTGTGGTCGTCGGGCTTGTCGCCCTCATCGGTTTTAACCGGAAAGTTTACCGACATTGCGGTCGTAAGCTGGAGGCGGCGTGACCGACCTGTCCGAGCTTAGGGTGCCGGTGGTGGAAATACCGACCTAACTGGACTTATTACAATTATATTCTAATTATTACAATTTTTAAATACAAAGTTATGACCCATACCACTTATAATCTAATACAATTTTCTAAGGTTGGGCCTATAACTTGCACGAACTATGACTTAGCCTATACAAATTCTATAATTTTGAAAATTACATTATAAAATTAGAGTACAAATTTATAAAATTCAACTATTGCAGCCTTGACTTTATTTCACCGATCCAAATTAGAGTTGGGATGCGAATGGAACGGAGTCTCAGCCACAATCGGGAATTTGCTTACTATCCGCTCAGGGTATTGGTGCACATATTTTGAATTAAATGTTTATTGGTTAAGGTTGTTTAGAGTTGTTAGAGTCCTCAGCTTATCTTGTACTGCTCCACCTATTGTGGTGCTTAGACTAGTTATATAAACTCTTGTACGTTCACGGAGAATAATATAATACACTATTCTAATTCACTTGGTATCAGCCTTATTTTGATCCTATGGCCAATCCCACCAATGCCACCACCGAAGCAGTAGCCACGACCACCCCCTCGTCGGACGTAGTCACGGTCGCCGATCAGCGACCGCCCAATGCCCTTCACCAGGCTCACCTCTACGTATCCATCAAGCTGACAGCCACGAACTACTTGTTCTGGAGAGCGCAGCTTGTGCCGTTCTTGCGAGGCCAGAATCTTTATGGGTTTGTCGATGGTACCAACGCCTGCCCACCAGAGTTCTTTGCCGCCACCACATCGACGGCGTCTCCAACGGTGAATCCTCTTCATGCAGCCTGGGTACAGCAAAATCAATCGATCTTGAGCATGTAGTTTTCCTCGTTCTCGGAGGAAGTTCTTTACCTGGCGATTGGACACTCCACGTCCAGAGGTGTTTGGGTTGCGGCGGAGACGGCTCTGGGCTCTACTTCCCGGTCTCGCACGTTGAGTTTACTAACTCAGTTGCAGGGGCTTCAACAAGGTGACTCCACACCTTCTCAATATTTAGGGCGTGCGCAAGTTCTGATAGAACAACTTGCACAAGCTGGCCGTCCTCTTGGTCTGGATGAGCAGAACCTCCACATCTTCAGGGGACTCCGGTTGGAATACCGGTCACTAGTGGCATCCCTAACCACTAAGTCTGCTCCGCTTACCATTCCAGCGGTGGCGGATCTT